CAGCGAGGCGGCGGACGCTGGCGGCAGCAGGGCTGAGGACTGCCTCCCGGGAGCTGCCGCGGGCGATGGACAGCTCCTCCCGGGATACCACGTGCTGGGGAGTGAGGGCTCCGTGCCAGCACACAGGAGCACCCCAGATGCTGAAGAGGGTAGTGGGGGTGTTGGCATCTCAGGATTATCACGTTCTGGCAGCCCAGAGGAAAGATGACCCAAGCCCTTTGAACCTTTGCCATAGCATCCCTGTTGGGCAGGGAGAGCCGAAGGACACGCTGAGGAACACCACGGACAGGGCTGGGAGCAGCCAGTGCCGCAGCCCCGGTGGGATGTCCCCCGAGGAGCCTGTTGGGCAGAGACAGCTAACCAAAGGAATGGTGGTAGCCAACGGCAAGCCAGTTCTTGTTCCCGTTGGATCTGAGCCCCTCAGGTCTTCCCCTGCAGAGCCCCTGGTGCAGCAGAGCCCGGAGGCACAGGCCCAAGGAGCCGTTCTGGACAAAGACCCGTCCCTGGCGCAGCCACCCAGCTCCTCACACCTGCCCTCCCACTTCATGAGAGGAGCCATCATCCAGCTGGCCACGGGCGAGCTGAAGCGCGTGGAGGACCTGCAGACGCAGGACTTTGTTCGCAGTGCGGAGGTGAGTGGGGGCCTGAAGATCGACTCCAGCACCGTGGTGGATGTTCAGGAGAGTCAGTGGCCTGGGCTTGTCACGCTGCATTTTGTGGTTGGGGAGCAGCAAAGTAAAGTGAGCATTGATGTGCCCCCGGAGCATCCCTTCTTTGTGTATGGCCAGGGCTGGTCCTCCTGCAGCCCGGGGCGGACTGCCCAGCTCTTTGCTTTGCCCTGCCATAGGCTGCAGGTGGGGGATGTCTGCATCTCAATCAGTTTACAGAGCATGAACGGCAACTCTGCCTCTCAGGCCAACTCCCCTCTCACGGATCAGCTGGTATCTGCTAGGGAGAGGTCTGAACGAACAGCTCAGGGGCCCAGAGAGCCACCTGACAGAGCTGCCGAGAAGAAGAGCCACACAGACAGGGACAGCGCGGCCCAGAGCTCTCGTGCAGAGCCCTCTCAGGCTGAGGCTGGCAGTCAGCACAGCTGGGCAGCCCCAGGCTTCCAAAGATACAGCGTGCAGGCAGAGGAGCCCCGACCCTCCCTGCTCCGTCCCTCGTTCATCCCCCAGGAGGTGAAGCTGTCTATCGAAGGGCGCTCGAACGCAGGGAAGTGACCCCTTGAGGAGTGAGCAGGGCAGCCCCTGTGGGTGAGCCTCACCGTCAGGTGGGTGGGGAGATTGCACAGACTCTGTGACAGGTTCACCAGCAAGGCTGCTCTCTGCCCTGCAGGGCTGGCTGACCAGGTCCTCCTGGGGAGTCAGGAGGGCTCCAGTGCCTCAGGGAGCAGCGACAGGCTAGCTGGGGTGGAGAGCAGGGATGTGCTCAGGAGCTGCGACAAAAGCATTCCAGAGGCTGGAATCTGGGGCTTCCTCCCTCCTCCCGGGATAACTGACTCCCTGCGGGGCAGGGCTGAGTGTTCGGGACAGGTGGGAGATAAGGAGGGCAGACATGGCCTAAGGTAGCAGATACAATTGCTGAAGATTTTATTCCTCCTTTCTCATGATGAGGAGAGAAGGGTCCCCATGGGAGTTTGGGGGCTCCACTCCCAGTATCCCCTTTGTTCACACATGCACTTTAAAAGGACCATTCACCAACGGAGCTCTCGGGGGGCAGGACAGAGGTGCTTCTCTGGTGGTTCTGGTTAATGTCTCTTCCACTGAATCCAACTGCTCTTTCTTCTTGCAAAGAATGTAGAGATTTGAATGAATCACAGAAATTCAAGAGGAAGGACCAAAAGGATGGGTTTGGGTGTAGGTGAATAGGAATCTGAGCACTTGGGGTGGGACACAGCTGGGATGGGAGATGTTCTTTTCCTACTATAAAATACATTTCATTGTTTGCCACCAAATCAAATCTTTCTTCCCATGTTAATAACTTTTTAAAAAAATCTCCTGGGCTTGTAGCTTTTGCAGAGGCTTAGCCTAGGGATGAATGGAGTTCGGGATTTTTGTTTGGCTGGATATGGGGTTTTGTTGGTTTGTTTCATTTTTTTAAAGCTGGAGTAAAATACATTCAGCATTCTATAGGGAAGGATGTAAACATCCTTTTTCTGTGAGAAGACCGAGGCTATTTTGTAATTAAGTCAAAGAAAAATGTTCCAGATGGCTATTTCTTCCCTGCAGGCAGTTTCCTGAATAAGCTCTAGACAAGAGACAAGTGTTTGTGCATGTGCAGGCAAGGTACAAAGTTTCTGCTCAGTACAGTTCTATGATCAGTGCAGGGACTCTGAAAATATCACAGGGCATTTTGCGGTGGTTTAAGTGTCAGTCTTTCTGATGCTTCACTTTGGAGTTCCTCTGCAGAACAACGTGGTAAAGTCAAGAGTGGTCTCTTTCATGGCGAGATTTAATACAAATGTGTATGAATACCTCATTGTGGTAGTAACACTCTGTTGAGTGAAAGTTCCTGTAGTTACACTAATCTGCCCTCTCTGATGGTGTGTTATGACACCATCTCTAACTGCTCAGCTAGGATAGAGATTAGTCACTGTTGTGGTGAAGAGTCTTCACTGACTTAGCCTGGGTCAGGTATTCCTCATGTTCAGGTGCCCATCTCCGTGCTGGGACCAGGCTTTGGAGAGGAGTGTTCTCCGCATGCAGAGTCCTCGTGTCCCTTGTGCTGTTTTCGTCTCCCTGATCTCATGTCCCTGAAGGTCCTGTCAGCTGTGCCTGACTCCTGGGCACCACTCCTCTCTCACAGAGTGGCACGTGTGTCTGCCCCTCTCCTTGCAGCAGTGCTGTCTCAGGGCTGTCCTGCACTCACCAGGAGTGTGTCCTCTGACCAGCGGGCTGCTGCTGACTCTGTGAGGGATGCTCTGCCTCGGTATTGGGCCAATTAGAGAGTCTTCAGAATGTCCCTTCCATCCTGGCCTCAGTCTTGTTTCCCTAGCACATTGCTAGCCATTTCTGTTGCCTTTGACATGCCTGCAGTGGGACAGAGGCTTTTCAGGCCTTAGGTGGGATATGTGCTGATCATGCCTTCAGTGTTTGTGCCTCACAGGGCTGTCCAGAAAGAGGATGCTGCCTGTGTCACGTGTAGCTGCCCCCAAACGACACTACCAATCTCAACAGCTGCATTTGAGATGTGTGAGGTCATGGTGATGCTGTCCTGTGAAGACTCTGCCTGCTCAGGTGCAGTAGCTGCAGGAACAGATGCTGTTCTCATGACCCTGTTTGTCAGTGAAGTGTCTGTCTGGGCCTAGGGTCCAGCATCGTCCCTCGGGGGGTGTCACAGTCCCTGTTCACTGGACTCTCCTATGCAAAGAACTCGATTAATGTTGGTAATTAGTACTTAATGCTCAGGATATCCGAGGTGTCTGTGGCCAAAGGCAGGAGGCAGAGGAGCCTGGGCTCTCATGCCTGTTCTTTGTGCAGTGCATGCAGAGGAACTCGGAGCTGTGGCAGCTGAGAAAGGGATCTCACATACATATGCCGTGTGAATGTAGAGAGGCAGGTTACACCAGAGAGGGAATGTCTGAGCACTGGAGGTGCAGAGCCTGTGTTACTGTCTCAGAGTGAGGGTCGAGCCTAGCCTCTCCTGTCCCATGTGTTCCTGTCTCAGTGAGGGTGTGAGAGCCTCTCCTGTCCCGTGTGTGTTCCTCTCTCAGTTGTGAGAGCCTCTCCTGTCCCATGTGTGTTTTGTGATGACTTCTCAATCTCGGCCGCACTGCGCAGTGTTCTGAATGGGCAGCACTGATGAATGAGGCAAGATGCTGTGTGGCTAAAATAGCTCTGTACTGTAGGCAGCAGAAGGGCTGTGAAGGTGCTGTCCCTGGTGTTTACTTGGCCTCTCACCTGGCCTTTGGCTTGCTGCACATTGGTTGAGTGCAGTCCTGAGCTCTGTGGAACAGATCAGGGTGAATTGGACCTCGGTGCTTCTACCCATACTCCCTGTCAGTCCCACTGTTGTGTATGTTTCAGCTGCCAGCTCTTCCCTGGAAGGAGAGGTTTGGGGCACAGCTCATGGCAGAGCACTGAGATGAAGAATCTGTGCTTCTGCCTGCTTGCCCCAAAGGGTGGACAGGAGGGGGCCACGGGCAGCCCCCCAGCCCAGCTCAGGAGTACTGGTATCACTGGAACCTGCCCTTACTGGGCTGGGCTGTGTGGCTCAGCACTGTAGTGGTGGTTGTACTGAGCACTGAGGCTCTCCTGGGACAGGGAGTGTGTGAGACAAGCTCTGCTGCAGGCAGAAAGGCTGTGAATGAGCCCATGGAGGAAGCTTTTATCTCTTGGGTTTACAGGGAAAGGAGGAGGTGAAGCCAGGAGGACATTGTGGAGTGGGATGGGTTCCTGGGCTTTTCCACTGGCAGAGATATGACAGACTTCTCAGAGAAATATACCGTGTTCCTGCTGCTATTGTGAGGGGAGGAGAGCTGTGGTCTGTCCTGCCTGGAGGAGGAGAAGGAGGCCTCCTGGCCCTGGCCTTGCCCAGCTCGTGCTCTGTGGCAGAAGTCTGTGGGATGCAATAATGGGTGTCTGTATTCATCTGTCTCATCCCATGGAACATTGCTCGGGTCGGCTGCCTGGCGCAGGCCAGGCCTGTCTCTGAGCTGTGTGGTCACTGTTACTCCAGGACCGTGAGACTTGCTCCAAGCAATGAATGCTCATCACTACCAGACTATGCAGAGGAAGCTCTGTCTGGAAGGAGGGAAGCTGCAGAGGCCTCTCTGCCTCCCCCTTCCAGCCGCTGAGCAGGTATAATGCACTTTTCACATTAAGTGTCCCTGTCCCCACCCCACACTTGAAGTCACTTTCCCCCATAGAGAACTAACAATCATTGTTCCTCAGAAAATATTGTAAAAGAAACTACAGCAGCTGGAGTAGCCCAAATGCTAGTTCCTGCCCACAGCAGCACACGTGCCTTTCCCCAGCATCACTGCTCTTTGTCTGTCAGGCCCTAGGGCCTGACACTGTGCAGAAGCTGCTAAGATGGCCATGAATGCACATTCTGTACAGTCTGGCCCAGGGTGTTCCATGTATGGCTTAAAACGCTGATGGTCCAGGCCCTTCCACGGCCTTCACACCTGTCTGTGGAGGGCGAAATTGCCCCGAGGTCCTTCTAGGCTGCTGCCATCCACCCTGCACACTCGAGTTGTTTGTGGCTTTCATGGCACCTTAGCGCCGGGGAGGGTCTGCCCAGAGCGAGGCAGGCAGGGGGAGCTGGCTGGGCTGCCCTGAGGCAGGGAGGTGTTTGTAGATAAGTGCTGACCCCTCAGTATAACCCCAGTATATGGCTGTATTAACATGTAACCGACGCAGTGTATTAAAGCCTTAGAACTAGTCAGGTGCTCCCCTCCGACCTTGTCCCTGCCCCTCTCCTCCTACCTGATCTTTAACAAAGCATTAATAATTCTAAGGATAATCTCTATTTTGTTGTGCTTTTTTTGTAACTGTTTTAAATAAATCAATTTGTACTGTATATTTGTACTTTTGGTGAGATCCTTTTTCCTGTTTTACCATTTTAAGTCTGTACTTGGCTACACACAGATTGTATTTTTATTGTTAATGCTCTTATGAATATTGCATTTAACTTGTTGACTCTGTAAACACAATATATATCTATATATATATATCTATATATAAACCAATAGCTTTTCCTTTGGTGTTTGAGACTTTTTGCTTGTCTGTAGCATCAGTGATCATTAGGATGTGGCTTCTCTGGTCTTACACAGTGACCTGGGGACTCATGACAAGGGCAAGGTACAGGCTCTCTGACAGCTGTGAAATTCTGTGTTTTCAGATACTTACGCTTTTATGTGGTCTCTCCTGAACCCCTTGGAA